CCATTGAAAAAGAGATGGGTGCAAACATTTCCCTAGCTTCAGCTCATTTGTATGATCAGAAATGGGTGGCAGAAGAGACTGAATACTCCTCCTTCCAAAGTAAATCTCTTCTGCTTAAAGATGTCTCCAAAATGTTACACCAAATGCAAAACTGAAGTGCTAAAGATGAAAAGGACAAGCTACATTTGGCTCTCCTAGGTACTCCATTATTTCATAGTGAGATGGAGGATCAAGGGCATGATGAAATTATGGAAACTAAATACCATACTTCTTCTTGTGTTAATAGTTCTATAAATTCTTTTATTTAAAAAACCTTAGCTTGTCACATTAACGCATATTTAAAAGTATCAAAAAATGAAAGTAAATATTCTTGGCTTGCATCACATCTCAGCCACAAATTTTTTCATTATTTGGCCAGCATATATTGGAGTTAGATGTAAGTACCAGCTAGAGTTAATCAGAACTTAATATTCTGTCCTTGGGTAGAATTTCAAATATTTTTGAAACCTCTGGCAAATGTTCAGTTTGTCTAACATGCTGCCTTCAGGCAAAGCTATATTTGTGCAGGCTAAGGTGGGGAACCTGAAATTTTATGTTTACAAAAAAATATATGTAGACATGGTTATTTACAATGACAACATATAAAAACAGGAACCAATATCTAATGGATAGATCAAGGAAATGACAGACTACTGTTTATAAAGCCAATAAATACAGAAGTTATTAATTCTCCAGAATATAAGAACTCATGTATGAACAAACCCTTAGTGTTACCATCATGAAAAAAATACCTATAGCTTGGTTAATGTTAACATCAATATTTTTATTAGCATTTCAAGCAAATTTTTAGTTTTCTTGGGTTTAGAATTTTGGATTTAGAAGCTATATGGGTTATTTATGATATAATTATTTACATACAGCATTTATTTGCTTCCAAGTCCTGCTAATGCAGTTTACACATTAATTAAATCATAAATCAACTTAAAAATAAACTGATAGCAAAGCAGCAACGTTCTGCATTATATGAAGAACACATTCACCTATAAAGCCCATCAGTGGTCAAAGCATTATTGACTTTCTAATAACAGTCCTCAGAATGGAAATCACTGTGTGTCTGATGGTGGAAATGGCTCTTCTAACAGGGCAATTTCTTAATGACAAAGTGCCATTAAGGAAGCTGCATGTTTTTCCTAGTACCCCTTTTTTGTAACCTTAGTTGAGCAACTTGAACCAAATCAAGGAGATTCCAAACCTTCACATACATCACACGAAATACAGCTAATTTTCAAAAGAAACACAAAAAGAGGTAAGCTCTTACAATCCATGACAATTTTGTTTCTCTGTATGCAAATGCCAGCATTTTCCTCATGAGTCTAATAGATTAATGGACAAACATGCCAGTCTTTGAAAATGCTAACTTAACATGAGCAAACTTATCCAATAACCTACAGTGAAATGTAATTTGAAAACACATTAAAAAATATAACACACACACTTTTAAAACACATGCACTTAAACAAAAATTGCATGCTCCACCATTCTGCTATTAGGACTAAGTGGGTTTAGTAGCACCAATCCACTCTGATGGGTTAAAAAAAAGAGAAAATATACATGTAACACCTGAGAACTCACAAATAGTGCTCTATAGAGTGAGGTAGTATTTTCACAAAAGACTAGTCCCGATGCTCTCCTCTCTTTTAAGTATCCACACCCAAAGTTTCCTTCGTAGATACTCTTTGGGACGGTTGAAATGGAAGGAGAAAGCAGAGAGTGATGGGATTGGGGCAGCATAAATGCTTAAGCAATTTTTCCATCAGCACAGTTAAGGGAAAGAGTCAAAGGAATCTGAAATTATGGACTGGCACAGATGTAAAGAATGGTAAACATATCAACATCTCTCATTTTATCTTTGAGTAACACTACATTAGCACAACAAGGCAATTTGTCTCTTCGGTTGTTTGCATATTTCAGCTACAACGGCACCTGAATATCAAAATCCTATGACCTTCCAGAGATCTACTTCTTGCTACACCCTTCATATCATCTGTTATAAGTAGTAACTCAAGCATCTCCTACAAAATTTGGTCACCCACTTGGCATCTTGACCTGTTTAAAATTACACAAAAATTTGCTGTATTGTGCGGAAGTTCCTAGTCCCATTTCATCCTGTGCAGATCAAGAATGAACCAACTATCCAGGTGCAAGGGAAGGCTCCTTCTCTTCCCAGCAAACACAACTGCTGTTTACTCCTTACTGCCTTAAACAGGAATTGTATTAAGGAGATCCTTGAACAGCAAGCACTTTCATACAACGCAACACTCCCTTCCCAACTTAAAGAACCTAAACAGGTCAACTTCTGCTCAAAATTTTGAAGCAGTGTACACCCAGAATGAAATCTTACACATATATTATAGCAGAAAATGCATATCGAAAAACATTTTATAGCAGATTCAAATACATAGCTAAAGAAACATATTTTCTCCTGGTGCAGAAGGGTCTGCAATATAGTTGAGATGGCATCAGAGGCACTGGATGAGCCTTTTTAGAGAGGACATTTCGTAACAGACACTACTGTTGATTGAGAAGCCTTTGCTGGATTCTCAAGTGTCACTGATACAGGACGCACCTCAAAAAGCACCTTAGCACAAGATACCCACAAGCAGATTATTGGCTTAATGCACTCCATATCCAGTCACGATAAATGAGTTCATTAAAACATTTCAATTCCAGTATTTTAAATATAAAGTTTATAACCAAAATATTTAACTACCACAACTGGTTGTTTAAAAACTGAAGTCATAATTGTCTTCCTATTCTCCAGCATGACTATGTAGCCAGAAAACTCTTATTGCCATTTTTATACTCATATGTTGTAAGAAGCTATTCTTCAGAGAATGAGAAAGGTTTTAGAAATCATTCATAATATGGATAAAAATGACAAGCTACTAGTTTAACAGCTGCATAAAAAGTATATCATTGAAAAGCGCTACATAGGGTTTTTTCAGTGTAAAAAGCATGTAAATTAATACCATCAATACTCATTCGTTGTATAGTCTTAAACTTTTCAAACATTAGCAAACCTAATCTAAGATTTATATTTGTAATTTCTATACTTTTATCTGCTTGTGAGAAAACAGAATAGGCTGTCTTACGGCCTTAAAATGTTTGCTAGCTATGCAAAAGACAGGTGCAAATGGAGCTAAGAACTAATCGTGGTGCCTAACCAAATCTAATGCTTAAAGAAGTCTACTTCCCATCAAACACCCTAGTAAGCAAGGTTGCCTACTATAAGAAAACAGCAGCTCTGAACAACCCACAAGTATGAAGCTGTCCCAAAACAACAGCTCAAGGACTGTTGGGGTCTTTCAGCTCAGCTTGTGTCTCAGAAGGCAACACACTCTTATTTATGTAACCTTGTATTTTTTGGCTTTTCAGCTTCAGGATTCCAATGGAAGTAATCCTGCCAGACTAAACATATTTTTCCTTTATATTCTTTATCCTTTTTACAAGCAAAAAGGTAAAGATAAACTGTATGCCTATTAAAAAGTTTTCTGAAGTTTGTCATTCCTACTTTTAACAGTTTTTAGCTTATTTTCCTCTATTGCCTCAGTATTATTTCTTCCAATTAAAGACACAATAGGATTAACAACCTCAATCAGTGGAATTTTCAACTGGCATGAAGCATCTTTAATCTCAGGCAAAAGACATAGAAATGTGAGATCTGTATGTCCAAAGTTAAAATAAAAACATAATTATCACCAAGCAAAACCAGCTTGTTACTTGGCAGAAATAAACAAAAGCTTTTGCTCTAAACATATAAATTCATGTATATGCTCAAAAGGATTCTGTGGCATTGTGGTTCACGCTCACAATCCAGTAAGGAGGTTTACACTTTCTTTGAAATTAGATTCAAGCAGGTCTTGAACCATGAATTACGATTATGAAAAATAATTTATGACTGTGAAAAGAATTTTTCACAAAAGAGTAAACAATGCACATTATCAAATTATGGTCTTCAGTTTATCACTGCAGGCTTGCTACAATGAAATACCAAGCTTGATTCTACACATACATATTCAGAAATACATTCCACTAAATTCAGTGGTTTTCAATCCATAAATGACAGGAGCTGCCAATTCATGGAAGGAGAGCTACACTCTTCACACTACTTCTTCCATGAACGCAATTCTGATATTGTTCCTGAACAAAAACTTACATTCCAAGTCAGTGAGTTTAATTTCAATGGTGTCCACAGGACTGCATCCCTAACCATATAATGGAAACCTAGGACACTCCAAATGCTTTGATTGCAATTTTCATGATCCCTAAAAATAGTGATGGAAGTTAGGATTGATAGATGTGGAAGTAGCACCCTAACATCTGTAAAGCCCCATTCCCCACCTTTGAAGTTCATAAATCTAAGTCTAGAAATTCTTCTTGAATCCAGGCAAATCAAGTTGCGCTAGAGGAGGTCCAATGAATCAGAGCAGATTTGTTAATCAGCTCCTCCATAAGTTACATTGATTAAATGAGCCTGCTCTAGCATGCCATTTGAATGAATAGAATTTATGGATGAGTTAACTCAGCAAATTTCCATCGATTTAATGGGCCTACTCTAATGGATTTACTATGCCAACCAACAGAATTTTAGGCACTGGTTTGAACCTAGAACTGAGAGATAGCTATATCTGTTTTATACAGTTGTTCTCACAATTTCTTTAAAAACACATACATATTTTACAAAACTTTTTTTGGATATCATTAAAGTTCTATTTGAACAATCTGTTCAGAAGACTGCCTCTGCAAAGCAAGTCTGGCCAAAATTATGTTTACTATACAAAGAGAATAACACTGTAGAATGCATATGAAAATGTAATTAAAACATGACGCAATGTGGGTTAGTGAAGCAAAGTGGGATAGTAGTAAGCAATGTGTGAAAGATTTTTTTAAATTTTTTTAAAAGCATTCTAGAAAAGTGTCATTACAACAAGGAGACTTACTGGCAGATTTCTTGCTGAATCCAAATAAAGAATAAGCAAAGCTGATGAAAGCCCGTCATCAGCTTGGTCTTTATCAGCTCTAATACTTTTTAGCACCTAAAAATTAGAGAAATATAATTTAAAATCTGAATATTCAATAAAATAATTTAAATAAAACCATATCAAACCACAGCATGCAAGTTAAAATATAATTACATAACAAAGAAACAATTGTAATTAATCCTCTACCTTAGATCAAAGAATGAGAGAACAAAGACTTCTAATGGTGAAATATTTCCCAGCACCTTTGACTAAACCAAAAACTAAATACAAATAGGATTAAATGGCAATGATATTCCCCAAAGCAGTCATTTTATATGGTGCCATTTCTAGTCCCTGTAGATACTTCCCATACAAAAGAAAATGGAATTGTGCCCCTCTGCTTATGTGAGGAGGCTGTACTTCCTAGGCATTCCAACATTCTTGTGCTAAACTGTTGAGTCAATGGCTGAAATCCTGTTCTCTATATTGCGTCACACAAGGCTGATGGCACTGTCAGCCTTTCACGGTGCAGCTGCACAAAGAGGATTTCAGCCATTTTTTAATTCATTTATACCCCAAAAAGTCCTGGTTATTAACCCCTCCTCTTTTGAAAGGGAGAGCATGAAGGAAAGCACGCATCAGTCTTAGGCAGTCTCAGTTTGTTTACATTTGCAATGGTGCCGATGTTAAAAAAAAAATACCTGATCAAGATTCTCTATGGTAGGCATCAATGTGAGCCATTCGAGTTTTAAATGCAATCTTCCTTTGGAGACTTCATCCAAAGTAAACCACTATAAGCAAAGTGAATGAAACACAGAGAGAAGCAAGGTTATTTAGTAACGAAACAGCACATGCTATTATACATTTCTAGTTCAAGATATACTGGTGGTACTTTTCTTCTTCTTTGCAATCTTCTTGTACCAGAGGTTGGACGGCATCATACCTATTCTGACTTTGGATGCTGCAGCTATAAATAATGATACTCAGTTGCATCTTTCACTAAGGTTTCATGGTCAAGAGGTTCTTCTGCTTCTTTTCTTTTAATTTTAATCTGAATGATCAATTTGTACTTCTCACTTCTCATTATACAGCCTAAGTATTCTCACTTTCTGCATTTTACACACTGACTCTTTGGTCTTTATTCACTCACCTTAGCACTTCCCCGTTGGTTGCCTTATTGATCCATTAACCCCAATACAATGGACAGAAAATAGTTAAGCTGTCTTCTAAACAGTGGCATGACTTCTACTTGCCCCTGAAATTCAATCCCTCTACTAAAACTATAATAAAAATAATGAATCTGCCTAAAGAGTTTTTCAAATGATTGTTATCCTAATCATAAAACACTTGTTAAGTCTTGCTTCAGTACAACACCCTAAACAGATTAAATAATAACTATCTCTTAACATTAACAAGCACGAAAAAAATAATGTTATATATGATTTCAATAGTTGCTTGAACAGAATACTGAGTCCGTTGTTAGTCCAATTGGAGTAGACCTACTGAAACATACACTAACATATGCTTAATAAGTCCCATTCATTCAATGTGCTTATTCCTATTGGGGCTAGCAAATGGATTTAGCCCAGAGATTCTAATAATCTACATGGGAAAATCTGCTGAAGGAGGGATGGTGTATTGGCATGCAGGAAAGCCTTCTGTGCTTGAATTGACTTGGTGTAAAGGCTGACCACAGCCAGAGCATTTAATGCCCAAGGTAGAAACTTACCTCATCCAAATAACGCTCCTTTTCAACTTCAGTTAGGTCTATCATGAGACTAAGAGAAAAATACAAAGTATTACAAGAGAACAACTATTTTTGTGAGTTGTGAAGCTGGAGTTCTATGAGACTAGAGTGACAAATGAAGTATAAAAGATGATGATAGGCTACTCAGTTATAGTATGCTCTCCTTACAAGAAAGAACAAGCAGAATGGAAAGAACAGCATTTCAGCAATAACTGGGAATAATTATTTTGGAAAGAAAGGAACTGATGCAATACAAAGCAAAAGGTAACTGTCCATCACATTTGTGAATTAAGACAGGTACATCTGCAATTGCTGCAGAAGGAATAGAACTTAGGACCCTGAATTGGGATAAGACTATTTCTAGCTGGGGGCGGGGAGGGACCAAAGCACATTTTAGAAGAGGGCATCAAGGGGTTTCCAATGGTTGTTCCTTCTTCAGGCATGCATCAATAGCTGAGGCAAACCACAACTTCTTAAAATAAAAAAGAAATAACCAATTGGAATTGTGTACTGTTATTTTTGTTACAGTTAACATTTGCTTTGTTTGCATGAGGTCGGCATTTATTAAATGGCAGGGACTATATGCAGTAGCATTTGAAAAGTCTCAGCATTATGTACATGTCCATATTTCAGTGAAACTGTACTGGATATGTTGACTATTTCAATGTCTCTTGAGTTTAAATCCTCTTTCCATTTATAGACAGACTGGTTTTAATAGTGGTATGTTAATTTAAGACAATGGAGGAAATACGAATTATATCTATTGGAATTAAACTTTGTTTCAAAAATTGTATCTTTTGAAATATTTTATACAAGCTAAAGAAAGAAATATTCAACATGACTGTTTGGATGATAATAGTCATGTTGTGTTTTTTACTTACCTGCCCAGAAAGTCATCCTTATCGGGGTCTTCATCAAAGAGCTCAATCTCCAACTCCTGTCCAGGGTGTTCATACACTAAGGCCTAGGAATATAATAGTAAAGAAGAAGAACATGGTGTGTGTTCAGTGTAAATGTGTGGTGCAGTCTGCAACTAGATTATACAAAATATTAATCAGAACAGAATTAAATGAAATAGAGAAAAGAAAGAAAGAAAAAACAGAACACATAGTGTCCTGATTACAAGATTCCTCATACACAGGTACAATCGGCCAAATTGGTGCAAAAATGAACAATAAAAAACAAATGTGGAATGTGACTTTTTACCCTGACTACCTTCAAGATTCCTTTATGAGACCTATTCAGTCATTCCACCCACATAAAACTACTTGAGAGGGAGAGAAGGAGCTTCTCCGGACTCTGTGATGCTCACAGGTATCCGGTTAGCCACTGTGGGAATAGAATACTGGGAACAGACTAGCACCCAAGGTTGGGAACTACCGTATTATGCTAATATTCCAGAGCTCTAAATTGCATCAGAAGCCTACACATGCAGAGCAGGCCCTGGGCTGTGTTTGCAGAGAGCCTAAACAGGATTAAAGTTAATAGTTCTAAGCAGAAAATAGCCAACTGAGAATGCATCTCAAAATGCTATTCTAAATCTACTGACATTTTTAAAAAACAACTTCAATTTGTATGCCTAAAATATCTGAGTGAGGGATGCACATTTTATAATGACCAGTAAGATTTATAGGGCATAATAATATTTTGCGGCCCACCTCATCAGAGATAGCAATCCTTCTCTTTTGGCTACATTGGGCTAATTGTGGATTGAGCAAATCTACACAGTAGTAGCTTACTTGGTAGCACCAAGTCATATAAATACTAGAGAAAAATTTATAAGGTCATTATATTTATCATTGTACCTAAAGGAGGCAATAGGATTCCTCATGCTTAGTCAGCAAGTAGTAGTTCTGGGTAACCTAACCAGCTATAATAGCTGCTGATCACTTTATATTACTTACACCATTATATATTGACCAATAACTAGACCAGTTCTGAGCATGCTAAACAGTACAAACTAAGGGTCTGGTTTCTCCTTCAACCTAATGTTTTTAATAAGACACACAGAGAGCATTTTTACATGAAACACAAAACAATGGTTTTTGGCTATAAAAATCAGATGTGTGTTTATTTCCTCACTCAGCACTTAACTAGGAGAAAATCTCAATTCACCATTACATCTGTATAATTTGTATCTAACAGGAAATTATAGTCTGCTAAAAAGTTAAAGAAAAAGTGTAGGAAAGGCTACTTTTTTCCATATATGGAAAGCAACATGCAATATCATTCCTGAAGATTCTATAATTACTTTAGAGGTATTTGAAATAATGTACCAATATTGAGATATGCAGATGATACCACTCTGATGGCAGAAAGTGAGGAGGAATTAAGGAACCTCTTAATGAGGGTGAAAGAGGAGAGCACCAAAAATGGTCCGAAGCACAACATCAAAAAAACCCTAAAATCATGGCCACTGGTCCCATCACCTTCTGGCAAACAGAATGGGAAGATATGGAGGCAATGACAGATTTTACTTTCTTGGGCTCCATGATCATTGCAGATGGTGACAGCAGCCATGAAATTAAAAGACGCCTGCTTCTTTGGAGGAAAGCGATGACAAACCTAGACAGCATCTCAAAAAGCAGAGACATTACCTTGCCGACAAAGGTCCGCATAGCCAAAGCTATGGTTTTTCCAGTAGTGTTGTACAGAAGTGAGAGCTGGACCATAAAGAAGGCTGGCCACTGAAGAACTGCTTTTGAATTGTGGTGCTGGAGGAGACTCTTGAGAGTCCCCTGGACTGCAAAGAGAACAAACCTATCCATTCTAAAGAAAATCAACCCCGAGTGCTCACTGGAAGGACAGATCTTGAAGCTGAGGCTCCAATACTTTGGCCATCTCATGAGAAGAGAATACTTCCTGGAAAAGACCCTGATGTTGGGAAAGTGTGAAGGCAAGAGAAGGGGACGACAGAGGACAAAATGGTTGGACAGTGTCATCGAAGCGACCAACATGAAATTGACCCAACTCCGGAAGGCAGCTAAAGACAGCAGGCCTGGTGTGCTCTGGTCCATGGGGTCACGAAGAGTAACTTAACAACTAAACAACAACAACAACAAATATTTATTAGTAATATTAAGTTTCATACCTCATAAACTTCATTCCACTTTGGATTGAGATTTTCTTTAATAACTTTGCTTTGGAAAATTTGATTACCCACACGAATGATTCCATAAGGATCAGACTTTCCCTTAACAAGTCCCTTTAAGTATGTATCTTTCCCCTCAAGATCCTGAGCTTCAATGAAGTGTATCCTTAGTACACCCTGCCAAGATGTGAGAAAAGAGTTACCAGAGAATATTCAATTAAAAAACAATGTTACAAATGCTTTCTAGCTATTCAAATTTATAGTGCCATTTTACAGTTTTTTCACTTAAAGTCTTAAATGACCTCTACAATAAAAAAGAAAAACCTGTGCAGTGGAGACTATCATTAAATAACTTTTCAAACACAGGGAATAACTTCTATATTTTCGGAAAGTAAGATTTACTATAACAGAACATTCCTGGGCTTCGCTTCAAAAGTGACATACAGTTATAAAGTATGCTGCTTATATACTGCCCCACATTGCTTAAAGCACTTTCTGGAGGATTACAATTTAAATTATGCAGGCTACACATTGCCACCCCTCCCTACAAGTTGGGAAATCAATTTATCAATCCAGGAAGGATGGACGGTTGAGATAACTTCGAGCCAGCTACATGAGCCTGGGATTGAACTCAGGTTGTGAGCAGAGTCTTCACTACAGTTTAGCTACTCTGCCATGAGTTATAGTTTCCAAAGAAGTAGCCATGTTAGTCTGTGCAAGCACAGACAGACCAAAAGAAAAAAAAATTGTGGTGCCTTAAAGACTGTTATATTTCAACGGGAGCTTTTGCGGGTACCAAGGTTCTGTCTAAGGTGTGAGGCTGTGAGAGTGTAACTCACTCTCCCTCCACATATGGCTCCTCCTCTTCCACCCTCCTCCTCCTCCACACACCCACAGTGATCGTCTCCAGCCCCTTTGGTTATGGTTGTGACACAACTCCCCACAGGGGGAGCACAGACATGCGTTCATGATGTGCAGCCCTGCCCAGCAGGATTGAACATTAGAGGAAACATTGATCAATACATCTTTGAATGGATCTACGAAAGCTCACACCAAAATACAACTTTTAAAGTTCTCCATAACTCTTCATCCATCTATTGTTATATGCCATCAAGTCACTTCCAACTATCCTATAAATTACTAATCTCCAGAAAGGTCTATACTTAACAGCCCTGTTCAGGTCTTCCAAACTAAAGGCCACATTTGTCTTTAATCTTCTGCAGTGTATATTTGACGTTAGATGCTATAAAATGTTAATGTGAGAAGGAAGAAGCATTGATATCCAAAAATTTGGCCAGCTGTTGATGTTGCTGTTTTAGATGTGTCCTACAAAGGTACAATAAAGATATGGCAGTATTATGGAGAACCTAAAAGCTTGCACGCCTTTGTGAAATTTTAGTTGGATCCAGAAAAAGGATGTTATAGATTCTGGGTTGTAAATTCTGATTTCATTTTGTTGTCCTGAACCAAGATGGCTATCTTTGTTTTTACGTTTGTTTCTTAATGTCCCCTCGTATGTAACCACAGCAATCACTTTCCTGTGGCATTTTCTAAGCTCTGTTAATATTTGGTACTCCAGAATTGCACAGGTGGAGCAAATGGAGTTAGTCCATCCAAGTTACTTAACAACTGTGTTAGAAGGACCCTCCAACTGGGTTCAAGTACATGGTTCCAGACCTCTAAACATTATCACAGTAAAATGGGAACAGCACAAAGAGTCATAAGATGTTACCATGTGATGATTCATATCACCTTACAGTTTATAGAAGGCAAATAACTGCACTGTTATCTAGTCTTCAGCAGTTGTTCTGATTTAGTTTGTTCAGTATCTAGATTGTAATGTTCTTCAGAAGAAATAATGAAAATTGTATTATTTCAGAACATTATACAGTAATTCTTACCTTTGGTATGGGAAACCGCAACTGAGCAATCTGAACCTCACTGACAAGAGGAACAGTGATCCGATTTGGAAGTACCAAATAATTGGATATTATATCTAGTATTATCGTGTCTGATAAACCACTATGGGAGAGAAAACAAACAATGTTATTCTGAGGCATTCTATAAAAAGGTTTCACATGCTGTTGCTATCTAAACAATAATATTTGCTAGTGTCAAATTCCCTCTTGTTTATCATATGTAACTAGAATATTTTAACTCACGTATTTTTTAATGACATTTTTGTCCTTCTCTGGATATAAATAAGTTTCAGAGAAGTAACTCATTCATGTTCTTGAACATTTGCTGATCTTCCATTTTAAAAGCAACAATTAGATTTGCAGAGAAGTATATATCTGTAAACAGCCTAAATTTTTTCTTTTCCTCCATCATACTTTGGTTATAATTCCAAGCTACTAGATGTATGTTCATAAAATCTGTTTTTTTGAACTTTCTAACCCCCCCCCCCCCCCCCGTGAATGTCTTTGACTAATCTATAGCAGTTTTTCCCAAACTTGGGTTCCAAGATGTTCTTGGATGAAAACTCCCAGAAACCTTTACACTAGCTGTGCTAGTCAGCGAAAACTCCCAGAAACCTTTACACTAGCTGGGGACCCAAGATTGAGAATCACCAATCTATAGAATTATAAAAGGACAGGGGAGAGGCTATGAAAGCGTAAGTCAAGATTAAACAGTTGCACAGCCCACCAGAGCCGGTGGGTTGGGAGTGCCTCAGTAAGAAAGACATGTTCAAGATACTTTCCTAATTTGCTTGCCTCAATAAGAATAATATTTGAATGTACTCCAACTACCTTTGCCACAAGACTCTCCCTATGTGTATCTGAGATCTATCTACTACCTGAAAGCTGCAATGATCCGAAAACAAAACCAAGTAATTAAATTCTGATGTTTGCATGATTCCCAGCATTATCTTCAGTGGCCACAAGATGGAAACAGTGGCTCAGAGTAAGGTGAACATCTAATAACTGCATATAAACATTATTCATTCCTCCCTTATCTCCTACTATAACTGTGGAATATAAAAGAATGCTACATAGACTACCCTGTTTCCCTGAAAATAAGACAGGGTCTTATATTAAAATTTTCTCCAAAAAACGCATTACGGCTTATTTTCAGGGGATAGTTTATTAATTTTTCATGTACAACAAACTACAGTTATTCAAATATAGTCTGTCACCTTCTTCTGTTGCATTCAAATATAGTCCTGTCATCTTCTTCTGTTGATGCACAACAGAAGCCGGAGTTTCACTCAATTGGGGCTTATTTTTGGAGTAGCGATTATATTACGATTATATTATTTTCAGGCAATCAGGGTATAAGTTAAAGCAGCTTCCAGAAGTGCATCAATTCCTTAATTAAAGCAACTGCAATGACACAGTTGAAGTCAGACTTGTTTGAATATTTAGGGAATAATCTCTCTCCTCCCCTCCTCCCCATTTTAGAATAGCTGGGAGATGTTACATAGAGCTGGCGTATGGCAGATCAGGAACTAATGGAGTGTCATTCATTCTGATGAAGAATGAATTAAGAACCTAATACATATGCTTTTTTTTCCAGAACCAAAACAATAAAAACATTACTAAGACCAATCCATGTGTTTTCTTCTGTAAGACTAGATATACAGTACTCTTTCCTTGTACAGTTTAGTTAAATAAAGAGAGAGGGTCCCATTAGGGCCCATGGGAAGGGACATGCCTTTCAGCACTGATTGCAGGATGACAGAGTGCATGAAAGACAGGGTATATTCATAAATCTCATATGATGTATAAAACTCTTCAATATTCTGTGATGGTAAAAAGCGCAAGGTGTGAAATCTGCCCCCTGTGAACAAAAAATATAAATAGATACTGGGCCTTTACAACTATATATTTTGAACTAATGCCTGTAACTATTAAGGACTTAAAATTGTACATTTAAACTGCGGTAGCAATTACTATTCAGGCTAAGAAAACAGCATTCAAGTCCAGATAAAATCAGCACAGTTCAAATAACAGCAAATACCAAGGGGTTTAAATTGTTTACACAGACAGTGGCTGGTCTGAACTATTTGCAAATGTCTTCAACATTTGCTTATGCTGTCCTTGTATATGTTCTACCAATGGCGCTGTTAGGACTGTCCAAAGTTTTAACCAAAAGTTGATGTTTCCGTAACAACAGTTGACAGGAATGTTGACTACCCAGACATGGCTGAGATGATTATAAAAACATATTCTTTCCTCTGCTACCTTGCAAAAGCCTGGTGCCAAACTTGACAGATACACTTCTTACAAAGTGCACCAGAATGTTCACATGTGATTTATTTTGTGTTTGGCACGCTTGAAGTCAGCCTCATTTAAAGGAACAGAATACAAGTACTACTTCACCACGTCTGACCTATTTAAAGGTAGGAACATATATTAAATCCTTCTCAAATAGTTAATAGCAATGAGCCAGTTACATTAGTGAGGATTTTTAAAATTGTCAGTATTTTTGAACAAAATTTTTTAAAAGGTAGTTAGTAATTCTTAATAGTAGGGAAAAAAGCATAACATTGCACTTTTCTGACTTTTCTGTAAAGACTAATTGTTCTGGATCAGATTGACGTTTTCCTAAAAATTAGCTGCTAAAATACATCAAATTAACACTTCAGTCAATATTTCCAATCTTGTGACGAACTCACCCACAGAAGCAGAAAGTGTTTGGATTTAAAACTCAACTGCAGCACACAGACTACACAGTGAGTAATTAAACAAAACACTTATGCAAATGTTAATGTATCTGTGGGTGCACCTCATTAAATGCATAGCAAGATAAACAGCAACAACCCTAACCAGTGAAAATGTTCACAGACTGAGTGTTAGTTACAATTGGAAACTGAACTGAAAGTCTGGCTACCAGGTCATTTTGAAGCTTGGCTTCTGCATTTGTACTCCCATTATCCTTGCCAACAGGAAGATAAAAGAGAAGATGAAGCTTAGATGAAATGTGACAACTGAATCAATGACTTTACTACACGGAACTGCCAATGCATTTCTTCCTCAAAAGTATTATCCCATCTTCTAAGAACTGCACACTGAAAAGATTTTACTGCAACTAATGAGAGCAACAGGAATAAAGTGAACCCAGTTATGCCTAGCTTTTAACACACAAAGGCAATGTAAAATGACTACAAGTAATGATGTCAAGAGAAAAAAAACATTAATAAGGAGCAAGCACATATTGCAGATATGTTACTGGGCGGAGTGCTACAGGTTCACCACAAATATTTACAACCTCAAGACCAGACATTCTCTGATTGCTACAGAACAAGCATGACTACATTCCTTCCTTTGAAGAGATGAACCAAGTATAGACAGAGTACTGGCAGCATTTTTTTTTTGTATAAGAAACATGGTGCTTTCTTTAAGATGCTGCACTACAGCAGATTGCAAAAGATGACACTGATTCACTAAAAAAACAGAAAGTTGAACAGTGGAGCAGAGCTCAACTTTTATCACCTGTAATTACTTTCCTCAATCACTTTACAAAATTATTGTAGTATTTTGCTATCAAGCTCATATCTGCTACTACACTCATTAGAATGTTTCTATACACATACATCTTTAAACAGAGAAGGAATTAAGTCAGGAACCTAACCAGCATTTGAAGAAAACACCATGTATCAGTACATCTACAGTCTATACAACTTTCTGCAGTTCTTAATATTTTTACTCTAGATTAACACTTTACAGCAAGCCTTTTATACTTAACACAGCAACTGAGATGAAGCCGTTGTAACTTACCAAAGCAACTTATGACTGTTAGGTAACATAACTCCCATGATTTTCAGGGTAAAAGAATGCTTCTTGCATTCTCTCTCTTCCATAAACTTTTGCACAATTTTCTATGCCACACAGGTATTTATTTCTTATTACATGGACACATAAACAGTGCTAATAGCTGCTGGAGCCTTGATGCTTTAACTTTCCACCAATGAAATAAGCCAGATATGCCCTTTTGCACTTGCAGTAAGAGCTTGATAACCAGTTTTAGATCTTGCTACAGTGTTCACTGTTATTCTACAGTGTGTCTACCACATACTGTAACTATCTTATCAGCAGTCCCCAACCTCTTTAGTCCTGCGGACTGGCTGGGGAAGGCGGTGCAGCCTGTGTTTGTGCGCATGCACGAAGGAGCGTGTGTGCTTTCACGCAGGTGCACGCGCACTCATGCACTAGCGCAAAGGGTGGCGCAGCACTTGTGTGCGAGGGAGTGTGTGCAGAGGTGGAGGCCTCTCTCCACGTCCCAGTCTGGCTCAGCCGGACCGGAGGTTGGGGACCTCTGATGTAGATAACACATATAACATACATAATTTGTTATCTGCAAATTTGGATACATCTGCATGTGCACACAAACACATCAAACAGCATGCTTCTATTAATGCAGTTTTATTCCATTTTCAGCTTACTTTAGTCCTGGAATATCCAGAAGATTGGTCAGTCCTGTCCAGTTGATTTCCAAAAGCTGAATAAACAAAAAAATAATATTGCTTAGAATCTCTCCAGCTTACGAAACAGGAGAAACACTCATAATTCTGACAGTCAGAGTGGTCGCTGGAAGAAATCAGTTTAAGGATGTTGACTGAAATGAGAATTTTAGTCAACATTTTGAAAATGAAAAAAGAATTTGCTTTCAGGCCCTTCATAAGTACTGTACAATATCAGGAAGGATACAATGTATGTACACATTAGAAACGGCAGGGAAACATTTAGACCAATTTCTTGCAAAGGACAATCTAGTCTGAAGTTCTAAAACAAGTTTACAGTATTGTGAATTTGGAATACTGTATTCTTCACATAAAGTATCAAGAAAAGTGATCTGAAAATAAGCTTTTTATTTGTTTCATTTAATACAAATGACCACTGAAGAACTGAAACATTGCTTAAAGGCAATATTAACATAATTTTGACAATTGAACTTTGTAGCATTTCCTTGTTCCCTCTCATTAGTGGAGAACCCTTGTATTTTAAGTATGGCATGTTTGCAAACCTTCCCAGACGTCAGCTGAACTACTGTTACCAGATCACAGTATTTGCATAGAATAGGGCTGAACAGCTATGGCCCTCTCAATGTTTTCACTTACAATTTCCATCAGTCCTAGTTAGCACAGCTGATAAAGAGGACTGTGGGCATTCCATGCCATCTCCATTTGTAGAGCGATGGTTGTTCGTTCCTACTCTAAACAGTAAAGAGGAAAAAACTGAACTTTTACCTAAATGGGTGGGGCTTCATCCCACCTACGCATTCTAGCACTTCACATTTTGTTTAAAAATATATTTAGAGGACAAGTACGTCCAGAATGCTGAGAATGTTGCCACATTTCTTGCATGGAAGACTAGATCCTATTGTTAAGAACAACAAGCTGGCTGCCTCAAGTGACAGGTGATAACCCTGCATAATAACAAGAGTACCAATTTTTATTTGTTTGTACCCATAGACAGCATATCAATTAATGTTCCAATTCTTGGATTTATAATTCACATTTTTTAAGAGCACGTATCTCTGTCATTGAAACAGAGATCAGGAACAGAAGATTTCTAACACAATCACAGGAATGATACCCCACAAACAATGATATTTTAACCTTTATTATCTGATTAAAATGAATTCTGATTAATGTATCATGGATAATTCTTCTGTATCAGATAAATCTACTCCTAAACAAATCCTGATATCTCCAAGTGGCCAGGGCAAAACCTGCCACATTAATGCTAATAAGAACTTTGCTTAATGCTAATAAGAAATTTAATTTTGACTGCATTAAAATCTTGGGATTTGCAATGCAATTAAATAGTGAGTTATTGGCACTGATCAATAAGGGAAGGAATATTTTTTAACAGAAAATATTGGAAGCCTCATGATGCAGTGGTTAAACTGCAGTACTTCAGCCAAAACTCTCCTCACAACCCAGGTTCAGTCCCAGGTAGCCAGCTCAAGGTTTACTCAGCTTTCCATCCTTCTAAGGCTGGTAAATGGAGTACTCAGCTCTCTGGGGATGCAGCAAAGCGTAGCCTGCATAATTAAATTGTAAACTACCCAGAGAGTGCTTTAAGTGCTATAGAGAGATATAAAAGCAGCTTTGCTTTTGCGTTTGACATGTTATCCCGTGCCACGATTTTTGTGAGAATAATTAGCACTTAAGAATACTACAACAGAGTTGCTATGGAACAAATAGTTTTAAATAAGAAAATCAAATGATTCTGTCCCACAATATTGATAAAGAAAACCATGGTATGGCCTTTATAGGTTACTATGTGGAGAGTGGTACAAGGATTCTTTCCTCATAAGTCTTAGCTTATACATGTTTCTAGCACTGTTATTTCTACACAACTACACTGAATGAGAAATGCATTTTGCTTTGCAAGTTGGGTCCTGAATGTATTATATTTTGAACAATTATGCAAACTATTGGGGATAAATGGTCAATTTCCCAGGTAAGCAGCAGATGTTGGGTAAGATGAAATATATTTAATATGCAATGTCTATATGCATATAAAACCAGCATACAGGTGTGTTTCTTGATCAACTGAACTTCCACAACAATGCCCTTCTGTTACACCCCTACTCCCACCATCCTTGCCTGGTAAACTAGTGCCTGTTTCTACCATAATTCTCACATTTTCTGTCCTCCCACAGAAGACTTAATTGAATTTATCTGGTTGTAAATGTGCAAACATCTCCCAAAGACAACTGCTACAGTGACAGCAAAGCCTGCTCCCTATTTCCAGGAGGGGGGGGGGCTCCTCAGGTTCTGTCTCTGCAATTCCTTGAACAGCCCAAACATATATACATTAAGTAGCTCTGGACTGTGCCACTTCAGACCACCAAGTAGCAGCTCTGATGATTTAATATTCCTCTGCACACAGACATAATAGATCTGCATATATAGTTAGATGTCAGAAGCAGTGTTTTTGCCTTCCCCTTAATATACCAATTTTCTCTGTGTAGAGAAAATTTTCATCTGTAAAAGCATTCACTCAGGTGAATCCTCTCTGCAGCATGAAAAAATGCAGTCCAGATTCATACTTACGCTTGAATCTGCCATTTATGAAAACAAGGCCTAAGTCTTGTGTAAGAGTTAAAATGTTTCCACTGTGAAGAATGATTGAACTCTGGTACATTTAGTCCAACTCACCCCATTTACTAGTAAAGTGTCAAAAGGGAAAGTATATGCCTAATCATGCAAAACCTGGGACATGGTCTACTTCACAGTACTCAAAACAGCAAACCAAGTTGTGAGCATAGATGATCCCCTTCCTTTACACACTCACACTTGCCTCAGACTGGAAAAGGAGGACGTGCAGTTTGCAAAAAGCAAGCTGTATTTACCAAAGTAAACAAATGATAGAACTACATAAATTTTCTATCTGTTGCTTAAATTACTAGAGAACTTTTCCTTTCAAACTGCTGGTGCAACAAAAAGCTACGAAAACAGAAAATGTTCACATACTGTACTTCCTATACTTGGTCTTAAAATCAGTCATACACTAAAACCTAGTAGTAAATTGCAAGCATCTTGCAGAGTGTGGGTGGCATACAAGTCGAATGGATAAATAAATAAATGAACTTGATTCGATCCATCCACTGAATAAATGGAAGTTACAGAGGAGCTAACTGACCAAATCTCCATCCATTCATTGGGGTTGCCCCAGCAGCGACGTCTTACTAGATTTTAGCCACTGTGTATTAGCTAAACATATATCTTAGACCTGCAAAAGTGACTTACACAATCTTCCGTTACTTGATTCAAATGACTGGTTCTGTAACACTACAAACTAGGGGGATGTCTGACAAAAATCTCTGTATGGCTCACAAACCACAGAAGGCTTAAGCAAACTCATTACATAAATATGTTCAGAATTCTTAATTTAGGCAGTGTTGCCATATATAGTCATCACAGCCAGAAACTGACTGCACTGTACACTGAATTACTGCCAATTGTTACTTCGTATTGGAAAATATGAGAGGAAAAAAGCTATAACTTGTTGCCAAATCATTCTTCTGTCTCTCCCTGACAAAATACTGCATGAAAGTTTTTTCTGGGCTGCAGCCACTCAAATTCTAGGTGATAGAAAATATAGTAAAACTTCACTGGTGTCAAATGCCATCTCCATATCAATTTATAAATGTTTTATTTTATTTTCACAGATACAGTATCTAGATTTTTTTTCCATAAGCTCATCCACAGCTTAGTACTTATTTCCCTAGCTAAATCAGCTTCCCTTAGTATCAATTTTAGAGAGAACAGGGATATATTAAAAGAATGGTAGCTAAAGCCATGAGAACTGCTATCAAACCCACTTTGTGGACAGGTAATGGAAGGAGGTCTTGCATATCTGTTGCTCTTCTTAAAATTACCTACAAAGTTAGTTTTAACTAAGGACTATCATATGGAATTATGGCCAACAAGAAAATTATGGTGCAGCAATTTTGCATTGCATATGTGTTTCTTGTGCGGGTTGGTACATATTTGCTTGCATGATAAGTATCTGAGTTGACTGACAGTTGTATGCAGGCTATGCGCCAGGAAGGACTGTTAATAGCTGTTGGGAAGTATGAAGGAATGTTTATGAATGGAACAGCAAACTGATTGATTTGTGTAGTTCCTGGCCGAAAAGATCTGGTTTGTACATAAGGTGGCGTGAGAAGGAATGTGTGAGTTAGTGTGAGACAGGAAACTATGAGAATGAGAATTAGTGAGGTGTGTGTGGTTTGCATTTGTGAAGCCAGGTACAGTATCATGAAAAATTGAGTAAAAGTACAGTTGTGTTGATACTTGTGTAAAAGTGGCCATATCTGGGTACAAGGAACAGGAAGTGTTTAAATTATAAAGTTAAACATAAAGCAGAAGCAACTGTATTTCAAGCTACAGAAGAAAACTAAGGTGAAGAAGTCAACAATTTGAAACTTTATCCCTATTTTATTTTTCCCTATTCATTCTACCTTTCTTTGTTGTTCTTTGTAATATCTTGTCTTGGTTTATAAACCCCACCCATTATTTTACAGATAACAGCCATGAAGTAAAACACCCACACATACCAACAGTCAGCGGTAAGCCACATGGTGTGTGTTGTATTATCAAAACTTAGCAAAACTGTTTCACAAAAACATTCTCGCTCTATAAAGGACAGTGTGAAGAAAGCACGTAGCTTTGGTACAGCAGTGTAACACTAGCTATTAGCCATGGTCGATGACAGAGAAAATCCAAAAGGAGGAGTCCCTGTTCACAAGTTTAAACAGCACCCCCAAACATGGTGTCAGGGTTTGGGGTTGGGTGTCATTTGGGCAGCAGTACACACAGGAAGAAGACGTTTGTGAGCATTATGTACGGCTATTTACATATTCTAATCCAACATCCACTAGGACAGTTATAAGATTCTCCTCACTGTGACAGCACTCTGAGTAGCATTCCACTTAGGACACAAGTGCCAACAGAATGAGGGCAATTTTATTTATCCCTTTTCCCTCTGCATCACTTTCTATGCTCTTCCATAGGGCTCAACCAAAAGAGAAGAATTTGAGAACACAAAGAAAACAATGAAATTGAGGTACTAGCGAATACACTGTCCCATGATCCTTTGGGTCAAGAGCTCTCTGTAGACAGAAAGACTTCTGTCTACAGATAGGAAATTCCAAATTGAAACTATTTGAGAACACAAAGAAAACAATGAAATTGAGGTACTAGCGAATACACTGTCCCATGATCCTTTGGGTCAAGAGCTCTCTGTAGACAGAAAGACTTCTGTCTACAGATAGGAAATTCCAAATTGAAACTCAATATTTTACTTTTATTACTAGATCACTCACTGAAGATTAGTAAAGCAAGGATTTGCTCAGTATTTGACTTAATAACAAACCTATGTATTAATACATACAATAACTTCCAGTAGCTATGGTAACAGCCAAAGAAGGCTTAGTGTTGTTTCTCAACCTGGACCATGATTTACTGCTCCTCTAACAAGGAGCCAGCAAATCCTAGTTTCAAATTTTGTCTTGTTCAAGGAGGGGCAAAATGCTATGCTTTCTTCTAGCCAGAGTGGGTAAAAATCAATGATTTTAAAAAACAAACTGTTTTAAATCACAATTTAAATCATGATTTAAATATTTTTTATTTTAAATAATAAAAAAGAATCAATTTTTTTAAAAAAATTAAATTAAATTCCAGTACCATCTTGTGTAGCTGGAGGACCCAACCAGAAGCCAATAGGCAGCATGCATCATAACCATTGTTCTTGACTGAAAAACCAGAATTCCCAGCAATTCTGGTTCCCCATTTTATATTAACATAGTGATAAGAGGAAGAAGGAATTGTGAGATTTTTCACTTACTGGTTTCCTAAGGAAAAATAAAGATAGTGCTCCAATTAAGGGCATGTCTCCCAGCAGAGGTTCCAAAATAACTCTCATGGTGCCATGAATCTAAAGGAAGAAGAAAAATGATCAAAAGTCAGACTACTTAACACACTTAAGTATATACTGCATGCTTACATATGCATTGAACAAAATGGCCAGAATCCTAGTGATAATCCCAGCTAGATTAGAATCATTGTCTGAAATCCTGTTGCTTAGTGCAGCACAACTAGAGTAGAATTTACAGGATACAATGGAATTTACAGCAGAGCTGACTCACCAAATCCCCACTGATACAATGGACCTACTCTAGCTGTGATTTACTATACTAAACAACAGGATTTCAGCCATTGAATCAGTAGAATTTACATATGTGTTGACTCATCATTCAACAATTGATCCAACAGGTCTAACTTCAGTTGAGAGTAGTAATATGATTTAGGTCCATAATACTATAACGTTTTTCTTCCTTTATCAGGTAGAGATTGTGTAACTATTTTTATGAACTTCGTATTTTAATTAATATAGTTGTATGTTAGATAGGAAACAAAAACTCAATTTACCTGTATACTCTTAACACCAGCCCTGCAGAAGTATCTCTTGATCTCCAAATCAATTTCACAATTTCCAACAAAGCTAAAAATGAAGTGTGAAAACACATCACAATAATGTATTAGATATGACAATCCATCAGTTGCAATATTTTAAAGCTAATCATATTGAGAAATCCATAAACATCAACATGAGACACATTATACAGCATTTTCCAAATACATTATGAAAGACACAGATTTTAAGGAATGTGAAAATACTTAACGCATGTATATTGTGAACAAAATTACCTGATTTGAAGATCCAGAATGATCTGTCTTTTATCCACATTTTCAGTATACACTTTAACACCATTAATCCTAAGGGGCTAAAGTACAGATTTTCATTTCAAGAGATGAACATTTCTATCAAAATGATGCTGCAATGTAAAGCTTATTTTTTATATTTAAAAAGCCATCTAATATGAATGCAGATTCAGAAAAAGCTTACAGAACTCCTTTCACACAAGATGTTGTTGTTACGTGTTAATGCTATCCATAAGACAGACTTCATAGGAAACAATCATAATGAAGAGGGGCTGTCTTTCAGCTGTTTAGAAACACAAAACTTCATTCAACATAAAGGTCCAGCTTCTAAGGGTTAAACCCAACTACACTGCTAGCAGCAGCAAACCTCTGAGACTAAAGAATGACCTTTTTCTACGACCATTCTTCTCAAGCATTCAGCCTCACCTCCATTACCAGGAAGAGCCAGAATCTACAGGTTACCTAACTATCATGTGAACAGTTACTCCTTTCTTGCGGTTTTTCTTATGTTCTGTCAAGTCAGAATCAATTTATAGGGAACCTAATAGGGCTTTCAAGGTAAGTGAGATTTTTAATGAGTGGCTTTACCAATTCTATACCCTCAGTGAGTTTGCATGGCTGAGCGGGGATTCAAACCTCATGAGTCCTAATCCATCATTCTACCCACTGCACCATACTGGGTATCACACAGTAAAAAAAGGTCTGGTGCTATCTGACCTGATTATTAGGTAGTACACATGAGGAAGTCAAGTGTATGTATTCTTTTCACGGAGTCTCAAAGAGTACCAGTTGAGGTGGCTACAGTAGCAGTATTATCTAAGGAAAGGAATGCATGGTGTTGTCAATGTGGTTGGATCACTTCTTTCATCAACTCTGACCAGCATAGCCCATGGCCGGACACAGTGGGAGATCCAACTCAACAACACCTGGAGGATTTCTAACCTCTAGCTACTGCCTGGGAGTAGCTATTTTTCATCACACACAGCCTTCATCCACTTCCTGTTGCCTTTTAAACCATCTTATTATGTGTTACTAAGCATTCAGTCTCACTTACTGTCAACTGCCTTGGAGGTCTGTCATCAGGCAGAAAGGCAGCAAGAAAAAGAATATATGAATGCTTTTTGTCATTTATGTTGATGTCTCCTGCAATTTTTAGAAAGTTTCATCTCAGAAACTGAAATAATAGGAGAAAAATATGAAAGTTGCTCTAGCAAACACCACCTCCTTCTCCTTCTTCTTGAAGCTGTTTCAATTATTTTCAAGTAATGCAGACAAAAAACATATTTCACGTTAGCAAATATTTAAGAGGAGTGACAAAAATGTATCCAAGTCATTTTTGTTTAAGTGCTTACTACAGTTGCTTTCAGTAAAAAAAAAAAAAGCAATATTTGAATTAGAGTCCACAGAGTGGGACACCCACTGCTTCCAGACACTGAATCAACACTGAGGCGATCTGTGCAATCAAATTATACTTGCCCTTTAATGCCTACAACCAGAGCAAGA